GCCGAGAGTAAACTACAAACCACACTCAGGTGGTGTCTGTGAGACCCAGGCTGTCCCACATCCTCCAAAAGGCCTCCCCATTGCAACATGATGCATTCCTCTCTCCCCTGATAGCCCCTGTCCCTGATTTTGGCCCCTTGGTTATCTGGTGTCTTTTTTTGGCCTCTCATTTCTCCACCTTGCATATCTTTTCTCTCAATGAGCTTCTAAGTTGCTTGAGGGCAAAGCCCTTTTTCTTAGTCTCTTTTTGATGATCTCCAGAATGACTACAACTAATAGGAATTCGCTAATCACCTGACCCATAAGATGAAGAAGAAATATGCATGAGCTCCACCGGGGAGTGGAGGGAAAGCAGAGGAGGCGGCAAACCTGCCAAGAAGCTGAAGGAAGCCGGAGAGAGTTCGCTAGGCCAAACTCCTGATACACCTGTGCAAAGAATTTATTTAGATTTTCTAGAATTGGCTAGAGTGGCTAACTTAACTTCCCAGCTGTTCTATAAAATAATCTCGCATTTACCTCTTAAATATCCAAGGATAAGCAAAGATAGAAGCGAGGAGATAGCAGAGGTTGTTGGTGCCCACCACACGCCCCGGTACTCACTCCAGCTTCTGGGGTTTTCTCTAACTGCAGGAGCAAGCCCCCCCGCAGCATCCAGGGCAGGCCTGACATGCTAGGAAGTGAACGCTCCCGGGAGCAGCCCCCAACTCAAAATACACAACAGCTGGTGGGTTGAGACCTCCACTTGCTTGCTCCTCGGGTGGGCAGCTCCGAGTGTGCCGTGGGCCACCTCCCAGAAGTCCCGGTAGGACTGAGCCCACTGCTGTAACCTGCTCCTCCGTGTGCCTCATTTTAACCTTGTCCTCCCTCCTGCCCCTCACTTCCCTGTCCGCCACCAGTGTCTCAGGGTAGGCAGAAACAAGAGATGGTTGACTCAGGCTAACCTTGCCTTATGCGCCCCAAATACCAAATACCCTTTAATTTAGAGTCCTTGAGCAGAAAACAAACAGAAGTGGTCAGGAGAGCTAAGAGCCTCCCAGGGCAAAGGACCATCTGATGGTTCTACCACCTGGTGGAAACCCACATACAGACTGCGCACGTCTCCTACTGTCCCTCCTTAATCTGATGATGCATCGGGCAAAAACCCTACAGAAAGCCATTTGCTAACTGCTGCCATAAGGTCCAATGTTGCAGTGAAGGGAAGAACTGGGTTAAGCATCTAGTTGGTGCTTAGCCTGAGATTTCTCAGATATCACTGTCTCTTTTTCAGCAGGTTAACAGATAGGAAAATTAGCAGATAATTTAAATAATGGCTCATTTAACACAACGATTCCTAATTACATTAGCAGCCCATCTGCTGATGTCTGCCAGCGAGAAGAACCCACAGCCGGGGAATCTTCCCGGCCCGGCTCCCCGGGGCTGTTTGCCCACAGTCACTCTGTGCGATTGTAGGCGCTGATCTTGTTAATCAGGTTCTTTCAGCTCTTCAATTCTGGAAATGAGTCTCATTTACTTAAACACGTCTTGCTGAAGAAAGCAAAAATAATTGCCACACGCCATTTCTCCACAATCTAAAATTAAAGTTGTTGTTATAAACAAGGGGAAAAAATCATTTTCAAAGGGCTCCCCTTAACACAAACAGATGTTACAGAACTTAGCTAAGAGCAGCTTGATTATCCGGTTTATTCCGGCTGTGAGTGTGTGCGCTCGCCTGTGCGAGCACTTTCACCATTGCAGCACTGGCTCCTTCTCCCTGCTGATTCCCTGGCTCTTTCTGGGAAAACCACGACTGCCAGGTGGATGGTGGGAGGGGCACGGGCTCACCTGCCTGATGCAGGAACGTGGTGAAGTTTTCCATGGATACTTAGGGCTTGGCAGGGTAAGACGGGCTGCGGAGGTTGAAGTTGAGAGAGCAGAATCTAGGGTTGGCGTGGGGGTCCCCGTTTTAAGAGCCTAAGAGTCATCCCAAAATCAGAAGCCTTCTGGACATGGGAGCTACCAATACTTCTGCAGCTGAAACCTCTCCCTGAGGTGGCGAGGCGGTTACCAGAGGGAGTGGGGAGCTCCCAGACTGAGTTTTCAAACTTTTCAAACAACCCATCCCTGTTAGGAAGAGTGAGATGGCTGGAATTCTAAGATGGGGGGAGCTTTTATCACACACCATAGCAATGCCCTTCAACGTGCTGGCAATTACGTCCATTCATAAGATGCTGGCTTCAAGTTCATCTTCTTCCTATGGTTCCAGGATACACCCTGCACTCTCTCTAAAGCAGAACAGCAGGAAAAAGTACCAGCTTCAGGGTCTCTTAGACCTGGATTTGAGCCCTGGCCTAGCCTCCTATTGGCTGTGGAGCCTCAGGAAAATTACACACCCTCCCTGAGCCTTGGTGTCCTCATCTGTAAGGTGGGATGATAAAGAGTGTTGATCTGAGCAGACAAAAAATAACATGTGTGACACACCCAGAATAGTGCCTGGACATGGGGATGTTTTAATTTCTCAAAGAGGGCTGGCATGGCTTTATTTTTCCTCTTGTTACAGGGCTGCTGACTTCTATCACTGTGTGGAACAGGACTTGGAACATGACTTGTCAAATTACCCAGCAGCCTTTTCCCTCCGAGTCTCCGCTCTGTGGCTGGTCTGGACACAGACCGGAAGTGGCATGGTAAGCCCCAGAACCAGCATGCTGTATTCAGCAGTCCTCCCCCGGTGCACAGCGGCTGGTCCTGCAGCCGGTGATGCTGAGAGGGATGTGAGCACGGACGAAACATCTGGGAGCGACCCGTGTGTCCGCAGCACCTGCACTTGGCTGGAACAAGGCAGAGTGCCATCCAGGAACGCCTTGATCCCGGGGCCACCAATACTGCTTTCGCTCTGCCTGCCTCTTCTTGCCGCCCTGGTGAGCAGCCACTCCGTCTCCTTTCCAAGGAGCCCAAGCTCCTCCCTTCCCTTTCCCTCTGCTATACTTCCATAAAGTCCCAGTGTCCTGTCTCTTCTACTTCCGGCATCTTTCCTGAAGCTGTTCGTTTTCCTCTTTCTCCCCTTCCACCTCCTTGGATCACTCCAGTGGCTTCCTGTCCCTAGATCTGAGCACAGTGCCTGGCACCCGGTAAGTGCTCAATAAAGGTTTGTTGAATGAATGAATGAATGGTGCCCACACATCACTGAGGCCCTCCCATCCGAAGAGACTCAAATCCAGTTAGTTTGAGCTCTCTGGACGGGTTTTTCCAGGGTCTGATGCCCTCCCGGGGTTTTGGCGAGTTCAGGCTCTGCCAAGTGCAGTGACTCTTCTGGCTCTGGGGATCAGCTTCCGCTGAGCTATCAGTTTCTCTGGCGTGGCCCTTCCAGCGGCTGTTCCTTTCCCTTCGGGGCCACTTCAGCATGGAACTCACATCCTTTCAGTGATGGGTTAGGGTTAGGGCTAGGGTTAGGGTTAGAGTTAGGGTTACCCAGGCAGAGACTAGGAGTGGTGGGCGGGGTGTCCAATGCCCCTGTCCTTAGCAGCCTGCCAGCCACAGCCTTGCTGCCCTCCTCTCCCCGCCCTGCTTCTCAGCTCCCGCACACTGCAGTAGCTCCACATCCTCTTACTGTCTCTGCCGAGCAAACGTGGGACTATTCAGGGCCTGTCCTGGTGAACAGCCTGGACGACTCTGAAGTTTTAAGTTTTTCCCTCCTCACATCTCCTCTCAACCAGCTCCTGGGAGTGCAGGAGAGCGGCAGAAAGATGTATTTTCCCACTGATGGGAATTACACACACCCTACCCCAAATCCCAGAAGGTAAGAGAGCCATCTGGGCATCTGAGATGTTAGATACCCTTTTCACCACTGTGGAAGACAGATCCCGTATGCACTGCCCAGACCCCCTTCAGCGCAGGCTGAGCTGCCTAGCTGTGGGAGAGAGGTCAGCTGGCCCCGTTGTCCAAAGTCTCGCCCTTCCTGGGGACAGTCACATGTCATGACTGATCAGTATTGGAGAATAAAGGCCTGGCCATCCCCCGCTAACTCAAGACGACTCTACAGGGCCCTACTAGCTTCCGAGCGCCCTGTGGGGTGGCCGAAGCTGTCTTTGGGCTTCAGCACAGCTCGATCCCTCTTTGCCCACTCCTGCTTCCTCGCCCGCTTGCACAGATGTGGGTCCCCAGAGCACACCACGAACACCCTGCAGCTACACTCTGCTCAGAGCCTGCTCCCGGGGAGGCCAACCCACGACTCCCCTCTCTGCAGAACAAATGCTGAATGACCACTTCTCAAAGCTCGCCCCTCTGAACACCACCTTATTAGATGTCTGAGCCTGGTTCTTAACTGGTATGTCTCCAAAGGAGAGAGGTCTGAGCCGCTCTCCCAAAGCAGACCAGCCAGGTGTCAACCCATCTTTCACCGGCCAGGGATGGAGGCCCCAGTCAGATCTGGTCTCCACTCTGCCACCAGTTGGCTGGACGATCATCTTTTGGCCTCAGTTTGCTCATCTATAAAATGGAAAGAATCACGTCAGCCTTTAAAATCAGTGTGTCTAAGTTTAGTTGTCCAAAGAGTTCAGACAAGGAAGCCATTTGGAGTGTGGGTCTCCCCCAGTATGCAGGGACACCCCACAAGGCCAGGCAGACTTCCTCCAGGCAGAGTTGGCATAAGGGTCAGCCCCTGGCAGCCCAAACTGAGCATTGGCCTCCTGGGCTCCAAGGACAATTTTTAACAGCGTGTAGCAATGGCATTAGTGTACACTTGGAAAAGCAGAGAAAATAATCCTCTCAATCCACAGCCCTAATGGAGCTATGTCTGTTGGATTTCCAGCGCTCAGTCTCATCCTCACATGTGAGTGCTGACTCCTGGCTTGTTTCACTTAATGTTCTAAGGCTCCATCCATCTTTCAGGCTGCTGAGACTCGGAGACGTCATTGCATGCAAGTCCTAGGGGTGTGATCAAGTATCCAGGTCTGGCCCCTAGACCGGTGACCGGCAGAGCCAGGGCCAGAACCAGGAGCCAATTCACCACTGGGCTCAGAGCTCACGGAGCAGCAGGTGTCACATCTGAGGGCAGAGAGCATCACACCTGAAGAAGGCATCTGGCTGTTGGCGAAGAGGCTGCACATGGTGGCATTATCTGCAGGGATCACGACAGCCCAGGGCCTGGTTCTCTGCACCTGGGATGCAGAAGCCAAGCATGGACGAAGAAGGGAGCCACCGTAGGCAGCCTCATGTCAACCAAGCCTCTGGACGTAAGAGCTAGGAGCCAGAGGGTGCTTATGTGTTTGCAAGGAGATATAGGGTGATGGGTGGGCCGGATGCTTCCATTTGCTGACCAGCCCTCCCTCTCTCTCTAGACAAACTCGGCGGGGGGGCGGGATAAAGAGCACAAGGGGTGCCCTTTCTGTAGAGGATGTCACAGCCCCCAGGACCTCCCTGGGCTGTGGAGTTTCCCTCAGCCTCTGAGGTTACACAATCTACCTACTGGCAGGATGCAATCCCACTGCTTGAGGAATGAAGGCGGATATTTAAACAGTCATGTATGAAAATCACAAGGCTGGACCTCATTCACTGATGCCAATAAAAATAACAATCTTTTTTCCCACAGAAAAGAAAATGCCCACTAAACTTCTTTCAAGAAAGCACTATTAAAAGGACAAAAGAAGCTTTGTCTCCATATTTTGGCGATCACGGGGGGAGGGGGCCAAGGAGGGAATCTTCTACAGAGGGCAAGTTAGCCTTTTCCTTCCCAAAGAGACAACTGAAGCCACTTCCCAAAACCCAGGACACATTTCCAGGGATTTTTAGGAGATGTCACTTTAGCTAAAAATCAGCTCTTTCTGCACATTTTCCAAAGGAGTTGAAACAGATTCTCATCAAATGCGTAATGTCTTAACTCTCAAGATATTTCTGGAGTTTCACTAAACGTTCCCTTTTGCTCAAGAATTGATGATTGCAATTGAAAAGCCATTTCAGATCTGAATTTTCAGAAAAAAGACATGGGATTAACTTCACCCTGGTTCCCAACATTCAGATCATGTTGTTTTTTAGCAAATTAGAAAAAAAGAAAGATTAAGTGCTTATACTTGCTGCAACAACAGGCAAGATTTTCAAGTTATGATTATTATAAAAGGGTTACTCTTCACTATTGTTCTAGGTATTAAGATTCTTTTTTTAAAAATTTTGGTAAAATACACATGTAACATAAAATTTACCATCTTAACTTTTTTTTTTTTTTTTTGTGAGGAAGATTGGCCGGCCATAAGCTAAATTTGTAGCCAATCCTCCTCTTTTTGCTGGGGAAGATTGGCCATGAGCTAACATCTGTGCCTACCTTCCTCTATTTTGTATATGGGACACCGCCACAGCATGGCTTGATGAGCGGTGTGCAGGTCCACGCTTGGGATCCGAACCCGCAAACCCTAGGCTGTCAAAACGGAGCATGTGAACTTAACCATTATGCCACCAGGCCAGCCTCCCACCTTTTCAGTGCACAGTTCAGTGGTGTTAAGTACATTCACATTGTTGTGCAACTATTGCCATCATCCATCTTCAGAACTTTTTCATCTTGCAAAACTGAAACTCTGTCCCCATTAAACACTAACTCCCCGTTCCCCTCCCCCAGCCCCTGGCAACCACCGTTCTACTTTCTGTCTCTATGAATTTGACCACTCTAGGTACCACATATAAGTGGAATCATACACTATTTGTCTTTTGTGACTGGCTTATTTCACTTGGCATAATGTCCTCAAGGTTCATCCATGTTGCAGCAGGTGTCAGAATTTCCTTCCTTTTTAAGGCTGAATAATAATCCACTGTATGTATGCACCACATTTTTTCTTATCCATTCATCCATCAATGGACACTTGGGTTGCTTCCACCTTTTGACTACTGTGAATAATGCTGCTATGAACATAGGGGTGTACAAATATCTCTTGGAAATCCTGTTTCAAGTCTTTTGGGAAGATTTTTTTTTTCAATAAATATTTAATGAGGAATATTTACCATGTGCCTGGGCCAAGGAGACAAAGAAGATGGAGACGATGCCCCTTGTGGAATTCACCACTTGAAGCTCAGACAAAAGACCAGCCTTCTTTTTTACAGTGGTTTCCAGTCTCTGTTGAATTGTTTTAGAACTGGCTTGCCAACCAGCCTTGCTTGGTTAGCCTATCACAGTTTATCTATGAAAACACACGTACAATACTATCATTAAGTGCTTTGAAAGCAGAAAATGCGATTTAAGTTCTAAGTGCCACAAAGATACAAAGGCCTTCTAGCAATGTTGACAACACACGAATATGTTAATGGTAAGGACTGATAATCTAAGATTCCTCATCTTCATCTCAATGTGGAATGCTGTGACCTAGTCTTTACAATGACATCTTCTTAAAATCTAAAATGTTATCTCCATTTTACATAACCTCTTGGCATGCTGATCTGATCGGCCCAAACTTGGAATGTGTAACACAAAAAGGCCATTGTTTTCAGGTTTGCTACACTTTGCTAATTTCAGGCCAGCCATTTAAGAAACGGGCTATTTCTATGTGGTTTGTAAAAGGCTTTGATATTTTTTTTCTTGTTAAACCCATGAGAAAAAAAAGGTATTTTAATAGGCATATGGTGATCAAAGATATCATTTTCTGCTAAAAAGATTTTTTTAAAGCCCTTCCAAGTAAATTCCTCCCAGGAAAGACCTTAAATCTCCATTGATCCACATTTTTATGGTGTCCAGATATTTTGAAAGAATGCTAACCCAGAAGGGAAATGATGGATGCATCCCTTTTCTGCTTCTATGCCTGTGAAATACCGATGTTTTCCTCATTAGGGTATAGAACAGTCACACAGAAATCTTCCAGAATATTCTAGAGATGGGAGAAACTAAGACTTGGCAAAAAAATTTCAACATATTAACTTTGGCAAAATCTCCAACATACATGTGACAGCTCCTCTGTATCATCATTAAATACATTTGATGCAGCAAAAGTAGAGACAGATATCATCCACGTCCTCCTAATTCCAGCCTCTCGCCATAGGCATTGGACCCACTGCATCATCCGCTCAGGACAGCATGCCCTCAATTCCCCCATCTCTCTTCTGCATCATCAATTTTTTCCTCCTCCACCAGGATCCCTCCCACCTGCTTACAAATAGGCTGTTATATTTTACATCTTAAGAAAGACAACAACACACAACCTTCTTCACCCCACAGCTTCCTCCAACCATGGCTCCACTTCTCTCCATGCCTTTTACAAAAAATCCCCTCATGGTCTCCAAATCCTCTCTTCCTTTTCTCACTTGAACCCACCACCCCATGGAAATAGCTCTTCTCCACATCAACCATGACCCTCATGGGCCAAAGCTAATCATTAGACCTTCTCTCTGTGGGTCCATCATGGGACTTGGCACCGTTTATGACTCTCTACTTTCCTCAGCTTCTGAGATGCTACCATCTTCTAGACCTCCCATCTCTCTGGCTGCTCCTTCTCAGAGCCTTGAGCACATTCCTCCTCACCTCCCTAACCTCTAAGTTTTGAGGTAACTCAGGGCCCATCCTTGGAACTCACTCCTCTGTCTAGACTGAGTCCATGGGGGATTGCATCTAATCTCATGGCTTTCCACGTCTCCTCTGCACAGTTGACTGTCAAATTTAGGTGTCCATCTGGGAGCTCTTATTTGAACTCCAGACACATATTCAACTGCTACTGGACCACTCATCTTAGATGTTATAAAAGGCATCTCAATTTGGCATTTCCAAAACTAAACTCCTAATTTACTTTCTCAGCCATATAACATAACTCTCATCAACAGCCATCCCACGCCCCTTTTCTCTCACCTCCTCTCCCACAACTCACCCTCTGTACTCCTGACTGGGGCCTCCTTGGTGTTCGTTCAATATGCAAGCACACGACCTTCTCAGGCCCTTTACACTGGTTGTTCCTTCTGCCTGGAACACCCTTCCCCACATACCTCACTCCCTCTTTCTTCAGGTTTCTGCTCCAGTGCTCCCTCATTAGGACACCTTCCCTAGCCATCCTACATAAATTACTAGCACTTCCTCATGCCCTGCATGCCTTTGCCCATGTTTTAATGTTTTTCATAGCATCTTCTACCATCCAAATACAAGATATTTACTTGATTTGTCCGTCTCTTCCCACTAAAATGGAAGATCCAAGAAGGTCAGATGTTTTTGTTACTGTGGCTCACTGCTGCCTCCTCCGTGCCTAGAATGGGGCCAGGAAAGTATTAAGTGCACATCAAATATTTGTTGGATGTATTTAGTCACATGTAAATTACAGTAATTGCCTTAACAAAATAATAACCAAACTCAGCCACTAGAATAGATTTTATTAAAAGACACAAAAATTGAAGAGTTGAAATGAATTTTAGGGGTCATTGTTTTGTCCATTAGAATCACCCCAAGAATTAAAAATACATATATATGGAATCTCCAACACAGAGAATGGAGCCTGGAATCTGTACTTTTAACAAGGTCCCAGGTGACTGATGATCAGCCAGGTGTGGGGACCACTTATCCAGTCTGACCTCGTGGTAATGCAGCAATGCAGTCTATAGTCACCCCAACAGGTGGTCAAGTTTCTGCAGGATGCCTCAGTGATGGGAAGCTCATTACCTTATGTCTTAACTTGTTACAAGTTCAGGGTATCCATTTTAGAACGTTCTTCCTTCTTGGTTTAATCAACAAATATTTATGGAGGACCTACCCTGTGCCAGGCACGATGCTCCATCCTGGGATGAATGGTCCTCAGGGAGCTTCCAGTCGGCTAAATCGTTCACAGCCCCCACTGCTTCCCAGCAGCCCTCCACCTGGCCTCTGCAGAATGCCCTCTTCCACGAGGCAGCTCATTGACTATTTGAAATGAGACAGAATGTACCCGCCCATGAGCCCATGGAGTCCCTCCTCAGGGTGTGGGCAGGATGTACATCTCCTTGGAATCCTTCAAGCCACGGTCATGTGACATGATTCCTGCTCCTTCCCATCATGGAGCTTCTCAGGATCCCATTTAAGTCAATATCGAGCCTTCATATCACCTTCCAACAACCCACTAATCAAACGTCTAATTATTAATTTCCCTACTTTTCCACTAAACATTATCCATTCCATGATATACACAACAAACATCGGATTGCAGTCACACCTGCTCATTTAGCACAAAGACCTGTGAAAATAATTCAGAGTAAAAATTGTATTACATGATTTCATAATTCCCTAAAACATTAAGAAGTATATAAAAGCCGACATCAGACAAAGATGGGATTTGCACTTGATAAAGATTTTTTAGAGCTCCAATAAACCCTGCCCCGTTCCATCAGGGCCTCTAACTGTTAGCATCCAGCTGAAGTTTTAAAACAATCCAGTTTTAGTTTTAATCACGGACAATGATCCTAAAAAATGCTGGGTTTGCTGGTTTGGCAAATATTGATTACTGTTTGAAACTGCCACCATTAACTCAAACTTTAGCTCCTCCACTGCCAAAACACATTTCCCTCAGAAATGAGTCTGAGCGCAGACTTTAGAAAAGACATTTCCCCACACAATTTCCTGAACTCTGATTGATATGAGGAGAGTCTTGCAGCCTCACTACAGAGCGTTAATACGCTCCTAACTAGCCCGTCCGCCACACCTCTTGGTCCCTGGACAAAATGGAGATTTGAGCCGCTGCTCAGCCTTAAATCTTCTCTCCCCGGAGGAGGCTGCCAGGTCTGGAGATCAATGAACTGCTGAGACGGAGACGAGACCATAAGAGTCACAGCTGAAAGCCTCATAGTCTTAAGTGCCAGGTTTTGTACAAAACATTCCGATCCTTTTTGTTTCAAGTGCTTGGAGGGGCAGGCTGCTAGATGGTCTTGGCCCTTGGATAACTGGCTCTAAAAGAAACCATAATTTTCTGATTCACCTGAATGTCACGATTTTGCACCAAGTGGCTGTGTCTTGATTTGTGAAAAACAAATAAACCTAACTCTATTAAATGTGTTTCTCCTTAGTCTTCCTTCAGTGTGGTAAGAGTGGAGGGGTTTCTGGCACATAGTCACTGCTCAGTATTATTTCTGTTATATTAACATTCACTCATTGAAGAACAAAAGACTTAATAAGACAAATATTTTGTATGGTTCAGAAGTAAGGCCAGGAGGGATATTATAGCATAGAGATAATTCCCCGTTCTCATTCTTGCCAACATGAAATGGTCATGACGATGGTGAGCGATGATGGGAGGGGAGGGGTGGGCACCTGGGATGCCAGCCATGGAATCTGAGTCAGGGGTGGGAGGCCAGAGCCAGAATGGTCATATACATTAGGACCTGCTCAGGAGCTGGGGCGTAAGCCGAGTATATTAGTTAGCTGGGGCTGCCACAACAAAATACCACAGACTGGGTGGCTTAAACAACAGGAATTCATTTTCTCACAGTTCTGGAGCCTGGAGGTCCAAGATGGCAGCAGGGTTGGTTTCTACTGTGGCCTCTCTCCTCGGCTTGCAGACATCAGCTCCCTTGCTGCCTCTTCATGTGGTCACCCCTCTGTGCACGTGCACCCATGGTGTCTCTCTGGGTGTCCTCATCTCCTCTTCTTATGAGGACTCCAGTCACAAAGGATTAGGGCCTATCCTGGTGGCCTCATTTTACCTTAATTTCTCTTTAAAGGCTGTATCTCCAAATGCAGTCACATTCTGAGGTGCTGGGGGTTAGGGCTTCAACGTACGAATTTTGGGGGAACACAATTCAGCCCACAACAGGGGGCCGGGCCAGCACAGTACAGGGATAAGGCCCTGAGACCCCGCAGATCACACGGTTTCAATCCAAGACCCTGTGGGTACGAAAACACTGCCGTCAAATCCAGAGTTAAGAGGCGAAGGCGGTGACGATGGATTTGGTAACTACCCTAGCTTCTCTGCTTCTCTGAGTTTCTCCAGCTCAGCATATTTTTAATAATATTTTTAAATGAATATTAAATAAAATAATAAAATTATAAAACTAGAATAATTTTATAAGCTATCTCTATATAACTTTATATTTATATCTTTAATATTTATATATTTTATGTTTATATTTTAAATATAAATTTATAAATAAATATAAATTTTAAAATAAAATTATATTTTACAATAAATATTGAATAAAATAAAAATTTTATATTTACAAAAAATATTTTTATGTTTTTACCTTTACAAATGAGATAAACTGAGGCCTGAATTTAACTCTCAAAAGATTTGGACAGACTCACAACTAAACACAGTTTTGCTCGCTGTCACCATCACCAGCTGCACTAAGCAGGGAACTAAGCAGGGCCTGGCAGAAGAGGGGGTCCTACCCCGAAGTTCATGGCACAGGGTTGATGGAGAGCTGTGCACGACATGTGGGAGGGGTAAGGATGGCACAGGCCGAGGTGTCCAGGGCCGCAGCGGTGGGAACCTTCCCATCCCAGCTCAAAGGGGCAGCATGGGAGCAGGAGCTGGAAAGCGGACCCGGGTCAGAAGCTGTGGTGGTGGAGGGGAACGCAGCCCTGTGAAAACCACATGTCCTAACTCTTGCCCTACTGAGCCCAATTCGAAGCCAGGAGAAAAAGGAGCCTGTGGGGTACAGTTCATGGGAGTTGGCTGCCTTGACATAGGACAGAAGGACCTGTCTCAGGAAAACTCCCTACTGCTTGAGACCCCGGGCCGTGCCATTGTCACCCGGCACCCAGATCAGATGCCTCCTGCTGGGCACTGGGTAGGGCCCCCCTGCCACCCCCAGAGGGGTCCCGAGCACCTTGCTCCTGGCGTCCTCCCCCTCCTCCTCCTCCTCCTCCTTCTGGCTTCCACCAGAAGATGGTGGGGAAGAGGGCAATAATGGCGGCAGGAGGAAGGAGTTGGAAGCTGGGGCAGCCAACCCGCCCGCCCACATACACAGGCAGAAAAAGAGCAGCAGATTCCAAGCCACACCCTGACTTCTGAGATTGTTCTTGTAAAAAAAAGTGGGCTAAAATTCAAGGAGGTGTGATCCACATCAGCTAATCGGAAAGAGGGGTGAAGTAGCCACACGCACGCTCTGCATGGCCATCTCTGTTGGGAGTTGATATTTATGGTTGAGATAAAGCTTTCAATTGTTCAGTTCTATTCTGGGACTGCTCTGGTAGAGGAGCTTATTAAAGAAGGCAGCCGGTGTATTCCCCAGAAGGCCAAGTGTCAGGAACAGACAGGCAAACAAACAAACGGATGACTGTTTACTCAGCATCTGTGCTCTTCCAAGAACTGGCCTGAGCACCAAGACACCAGACTCAGGTCAACAATGGGCAGCTTCTCTCCAATCAAACCAGGCCCACCATTCCTTACAAGCCTCCTGAATTCTCACACACAGTGACTCTGAACATTTTTGGATAAACTGCCCCATCAAGAAAAATATTTCTGAGTACTCAACCCCTATATGCATATGTATCCATAACTTAGGGGCTACCAGGCAGCTCAGTGCGGTAGCTCAGAGCGCACGGTCTGGGACCAGCCCACTTGTTTTCAAATTCTGGCTCTGCTCTCATGAGTTGTATTGCCTCAGCAATGTGCCCATCTGTACCTCAGTTTCCTCATCTGTAAAATGGGGATAGTGTATGGTAAACTTCCATCTTCCCTAATGTCAATCAGTACCTCTAGCAAACTAACCAGAAGGTATTATTTATCTATAGTGTGTTATTTTTTTTTCTTAACTTAAATTCTTTAGAAGATTTTTACACAGGCAGGAAATTCTGTTTGCAGGTTAAGGGTTCAAAAGTGTTTTTGTAGGTAGCAAACATATCATTTTTAGTAGTAGAAATCAAATAACGATAGAAACATTTAAAGACATCATCTTCAAAAAACTCCACAGCAGGAGTTCCTTCTGAAAAAGCAGTTTCTAACTCTGTTAAAATATCACCTTAAAGGGACATATTTGTGTTATTTTTTTCAGTATCTAATAGGTAGCATACTGCTGCCAGCCACTTATAATCACAGTAATAGTCAGCAAATGTGGAACTCTGGCTTTCTGGGAAATGAAAGCACGCAACTCATCTCTAGAGGTCTTGTTTTTTAAAACAAACCAGACCAATGATGTTCTGAAGCCTGCAAATGGCTGTGACAGCTGTAAGCAAAGGAACATGTGAGCGAGCAGAGGGCGTGCTCGCTGAGCTGGAGAATCACTCCAACTTCAGAGACGTTTGTCCTGGACAATCTCGAGACAGAGGCAGTATCCACTTTCTTTCTTTCTTTTTTTTTTCTTTGGTGAGGAAGATTAGCCCTGAGCTAACATCCATGCTTATCTCCCTCTATTTTATATGTGGGGCACCTGCCACAGCATGGCTTGATAAGCACTGTGTAGGTCTGCACCTGGGATCCTAACCTGCGAACCCTGGGCCACCAAAGCAGAGCGTCCAAACTTAACCACTAGGCCACCAGGCCAGCTCCCTGTATCCACTTTCTTAGACACATATATCCTCTCGTTTCTCCACTTTGCTTTCCTCACTTGAAGTTTTTAAAGATATTCCTCATTCATTTCAGTTGCATCATGTTCCACAGTGTAGAAGTACCATCGTTTACTCAACCAGTCCTCTTTCAATAACATTTAGGTTGTTTCCAATCAATTGCTATTACAAGTAGCATTACGAAGAATAGCTTTGTGAATTGCTTTTCATATTTTTGCCCTATTTAACTTTTGTGTAAACTCCTAGAAGTGGATTTCTGAGTCAAAGGATAAATGCATATGTAATTTGCCTAGACATCTCCAAACTCCCAACAAGTTGTGATGGTGCATCATTTGGAATGTTTTTGGCTGCAAGTAAACAGAGAACTATAGATTTAGTGTTAAACAAGTAGGGGTTTATTTTTCTCCATATCAAGAAGTCTCTAGAGATAGTTGGTATTAGATCAACATTGACAAGAAAATCCCAGAACTCTCACTCAAGGTCAGAAGTTGGCCATCCCTGTTGAAGGCTTTGCATTTTCATCAAAGGCAGGAAGGAGGAGAAACTGTAATCCCAGCAACACCTGCCACTTTTTTTTTTGGTGAGGAAGATTAGCCCTGAGCTAACATCTGTGCCCATCTTCCACTATTTTGTATATGGTACGCCACCACATACATGATGAGCAGCCAATTCTCTGGCCAGCCTCATGGTTCAAATCCAGGTGCGTAGGTCTGCGCCTGGGATCTGAACCCATGAACCCCAGGCTGCCAAAGCAGAGCTCGAAAACTTAACTGCTATGCCGCTGGGCCGGCCCCAACACCTGCCACTTTTTATCAGGAAACCATAAGCTTTCCCTGAAATCCTCCAGGAGACCCACATTCAGGTCCCACTGTCCACAGCGGTAGAGTCACAAAGCTTCAGGCCAGAGAGAAGAGATTGGGAAGGTGTCTTAATTTGATCACCCAATTGATACTATCTGCCACAGGTCAGGTAACAGACTCAAACTAGACATAGATATAAAGCATGAAAATATATTCCACACCCTGCCTATGCACAGCCCTGGACTTCCAATCAGCCTTTTACTGCTTCTCTTCTGAATAGGAACAGGCAGGAATCACCATATATTTGAGGAAAACCACTAGCATGAGACAGAGACCATGACAAATGCCCCGAGAAAAGGAACTCAGAGGAAACAGAGAAAAGGCAGGAAGCAGAAAGAAAACTTCAAAGAAAATCATAATTAATGTCCTCAAAGAAATAGAAGATATGCCACTCTGAAACAAGAATAAGATACAACAAAAAAAGGAACATTCCGAGAAAAAGAAAGTGCTCTTGAAAATTAAAATGAAGATGGCAGAAAGGAATACAGAGAGCAGAACCAATGACAAAGAGGTGGGAAATGGGGGAGACTATGCTAGAAGGCCCAACATCTGGATGACAGGAGGCCCATAGAGAGAAAAGACAATTGCTAGAAAATGTCTCAGAACCTAACGTCATGAGCTTCTAGACTGAAAAGGCTCGTTAAGTGCCCAGCATAAAAAGAAAAGACCCATACTAAAATGCACCGTCAGGAGATTTCAGAATACAGGTCTAAGAATATTGCATACACAATATCTCATGTATCTCAATATCTTGTATATATTCAAAGTTCATATTCAAAGAATTAGAAATCACAATTGCATTGGGCTTACCAACAGCATCAATATAGAAGATAAGGTAAACATAGCTTCAAGACTCTGAGGGGTATGTGGAGATGCTGTTTGGACAGAGAAGCCAGGACTGCCGGGCTTCCCTGTCTCCACTAACTCACAGGGTAGGGATCCGAGGTAATGCAGACCTAAGGGGCCACAGGAAGTGGGAAAGTGTACCAGTGCACCATCGGCTGTGCCAACCCCCAGGAGCCCAGCGAAGAGCTCTGGCGAAGCTGGGCTGGAGCATGAGGCTTAGATCTGAGGTTTAGCAGGTCCTTGCCTCCCAGAGTCTGAAACACAAATACTGGAATTTTTCAATTCTCCGGCCAGCCTCATGGTTCAAACCCAGAAGAATGAGTTGTGCGTCAATAGAGACCGAGATGAGAACGCTCCAAGTGAAGCACAGCTCAGACATGGAGGGGAGGGCGAGGATCGTCTTCGGGCACACAGGGACCCCACCCTCTATAAACAGCCCAGCATGTGGCCCGCATCCTGAGCAGCCCAGTGGGCACTGTAGTCCCTCCTATTTGGGTGAAGCGAGCAAGAAGGTGGGGTAATAGAAGTTGCCCACGTCCTGCAGGGTTAATGAGCCAAAATGTACATACATTTACTGATTGAAGGATGAGAAAAAATATTTTATATATTTTTGAAATTTGTGTATACTTAAGAATTGAAGTTATTTAGAATATGTGCAAACTATTAGATAATAAATTCTTATGCACACAAAAGCTATGGGAGCCACACTTGGTAAACTTAATGATGGATTACATGTCAGTGTCAGTGGATCAGGAACTTGGCAGAGTTTTGCAACATTTGCTATTTTGTAACCTAACTGCTATTTGGCATTTCAAGGTGCCAGCCATTCGAAAAGTTTTGAAAGTCCTATGTTCAGAGCATTCCATCTTCAAAAAAGGTTCTGCGGTTGCTTTTAACCTCAAACATCATCTCCCTTTGCCCCCTAACCATTTCCCTTGCCCAGTGCCTACACATCACATCTTCCAGAAGAAAGGTCAAAGTACACACAACAATAAGAGGCACAATCCAGACTAACTCACAGAGGCTTCCGTGAGTTATTCTAGATCACTTTAGGAAGTCAGGATTTTAAAGGAAAGCTTTAAAACTCTGTTTGTGATTCCTGGGCTGAAATGATGCTCTCAAATACATTCAGTGGCAGAGGGTATCCATTTTTTTATTCCTCAAATATTAGCGTAAGCTGTGCCAGCCACACTTCCAGGTAGGAGGGATGCAGTGGCCGCAGCAGACTCTGTGGGGACCTCAACGATTCTGTGCACCTGACCCTGAAGCCTCCACATGCATGTACCTGTGACTGTGCCTGATGCCTTTCTCTGGCCAGCTGCAGAACCACAATGCTGAAGAGTTAGTGCCCCTGGGAGCAGCCCTCAGCCCAAGACTGACAGGACTGGGTGACAGACGCCCAGCTCCCTTGCCCCTCCGTTGGGACAGCTGAGTCTTTCCGACATTCTCCGAGATCCCCGGGGCTTGAGCCCCACTGCCCTCACCTGTAACTTCTCCATCACACACACTTCCCCACCCTCTACCCATGATTCCTGGGATCCTCTGCCAAATAAACTGCCCATACTCACATCCTTGTTTCAGTCTGCTTCTGGAGGAACCCAACCGAAGACACTGTTGGAAAACATAGGCAATAGTCTAAGTGGTCTCCTGCACCCCACCTGCCCCAGGATCTCTGAGTTTAATTTTCCTTTTTAATTTCAGAGACTCTCCTGGCGAACCATGTTTAACTACCCTCCCGTCCCCCAACCTCTCCCTCCCTCCCTACACACACACTGCCTATACGCAGCGTGGTATGATGTTTTCACACTCTTTGCAAGGCCTTTTTCTAATAAAACCTAATCCCAAAGCACACTTTCAAAACAGATGAAAGCAGAGCTGCTCCGGAAGTGGGGCACGTGGGAGGCACTCCCCAGGGCGCATGTGCCCTCACGCTGTGTGCCCTCCCAGGTAGAGCCCTCACCTGCCTGGCCTCACCTGGAACCTGGTTCCCCCAGCGTCTCAATGCTGGGTCCTCTCATCCTGCTGGCCAGAGCCCAAACTGCACCTCCTCAAAGAGGTCTTCTGGAACCTCCCTCTCTAAAGCAGCCTTTTTCCCCATGCCCATTACCAGGTTGTACTGTCTCACAGTACTTATCTAAAATTCTTTTTACTTTCTTTACGATCTGTCTTTCCAACAAGCACAGAGGTTCTACAAAAGCAAGGATCATCTTTGTCTAGTGGACTGTTGCATCTCAGGGCTTAGCAGAGGGCCTGGCGTACAGTAAGTGCTTCATAAATACGCTGAATGAAGGAATAAAGCATGCTCATCCTTTGAGTCTAGTTCATCTCTTTAATCCCCAATCACTCCAGTTAGAGGTGATCTTTAACTCTTCCAATGCCATATCACATCTAGCACGAAGAACCATGACGTCAGGAATAAGACAGGACTGTAAAGATCAGAGGAGATCAACAGGTGTCTGTACGCTGCCATTCCCCACTCGTGCCCACAGCAGATGGACATGCTCCCCTCACCGATCTGGGCAGCTGCTCCCAGCCCAGCTGAGTTGACATGTTGAGTTACCAGGATTTCTCCCCCTTGACACTGTTGACATTTGGGGGCAGGTAATCTTTTGTTGGGGGCGGAGGGCTGTCTTGTGCATTGTAGGATGTTGAGCAGCATCCCTAGCCTCCATCCACTACATGCCAGTTGTAACAAACAAAAATGTCTCCGGACAGTGCCAAATATCCCCTGGAGGGCACAATTTCTCAGGGTTGAGAACCACCGAGGTAAACCTATTTGCCACCCCTGTGGTGGACTCTATTCCCATCCCCTCTTCAGAGGGCTAGGAAGCAGAGAACTCAAAGCTATCACACTTCCTTTTGCTTTAGCAAAAATAACCACTGTCCCACTAAAGGTAGGAGACCGCAAAACAAATTTGTTACTGGAAACATTGTAACAACTTCTAATTTGCCCTGCCTCTTATTGAACAAGTATACTTTTTAGAGCCATGCTCCCCGTGAGTGCTCAGCTGACAGCACTAATGTACAAACAAATGGTTACAAGTTAGTATAAGGTAACCACAGGAGGAGAGGAAGCCCCAGAAACTGAGATCAGCGCAGGAGAGAAATGGGATGTCTGCTGAATCTAATAATTTAAAAAGTGGCCCTTGTATTTATATGTCTTTTTTTTCATTTGTTTTCCTAGTAATTCATTTTTATTGATTTACAAATTATTGCTCCACGACGGACTGGAAATTCAAAAAGGACGCAGTCAGCACGGAGACTTTGAACAGCCCTGCTTGAGAGAACTTTCCCCGGAGGAAGCCCACGTTTCCAACCTGCCAAACACGAGGATGCTTTTGGAACACAATCTGCTTGAGGTGGAGATTTTCTAAACGGGCAGAGGAAACACGTAACCCAACAACAGCATTTAGGAAGATGAAAGAACCTACCCATTCCGTACAGGAAACCACGGTACAGAGGAGAATCTGGCCTCTGTGGCAGCCTCCAAATCGCATCCAAGGGCTGGCTGCTTAAGGAGGACTTGGAGACATGATAAAGTGCAGATTCTCAGGTCCCAGTGCAGAGAGTCTCACCCAGTAAGTCTGGACTGGGTCCTGGGAATCCGTATTTTTAACCAAATCTATCAGGCATTCTTAGTCCTTCCTGGGGCCAGCTGGGTTTGGGAAGCAAGGACCCCAGTTGTGGCCTGAGAGCCAGGAGCACCACCCTACCCTCTCGCTAGCGCTGAACCAGATCCCGCATTTTAGCACAACCCCAGGTGGCTTACCTGCAGACAGCCGATGAACATGAGAGCTATGGAAAGCTCTCACAAGTAAAATAGATTATAATCATCGAGGGTTAGAGCTTCTAGAAGGGATCGCAGGTCACCTGGTCAAATCCCCTCATTTACAGGTGAGAAAACTGAGGCTTGGAGAGGTTGAAGAACTTGCTGTCCCACACCAAGACTTTGGCAAGCAGCACATCTGGGATCAGCATCCAAAATGCCTAATTCCCAAATGACTGCAAGCCACTCAGTTCTGCCAGCTTCCCCGTGGCTTGTCCCATTTCCTAGGAGAGAGCCTGATGTAGCAGAAAGGGCTCTGAATGCCCCACTGCAGCTTCTGGAATCCACGCCCACCTTCACCAAGAAGCAGCTTCTGTTCTAGCCTCGCCTTGAAAACAGGTCAGACCAGATTATCCCGACCTCTCTGCTCCCCATACTTTCCACCTTTTTTCCCCATGGCACCGCCTTCTGAGGGGGCTGCTTTGTGGGTTGTTTTCTGGCAGGTGGGGGAGGGGGTTGCATGGCTGACAAACTGAAGTAGGTCCCCACTCACTGCCAGTAAGTCCATTTAAATAAGGCCATTTATCCAGTGCGTGTATTTGAGGGGCTGGAGGTCAGCAGTGGGGGACGAGGCTGTCCTTAGCGAGGCCAGGTATAAATTCTCCTCCTCTGCCATTCCCAGTCTAATGTGAAATGGAAGGAGCGAGGTCTCCCACCGCCCTTTATGACTCCATGGAATGATGAAGCTGGCCCAGGGCGTCACAGGCTGTACTGTCTTCAGACAGTCCTCTTCGTCTTCCTAAAACGGCAGCGCTGAGAATGTGTGTTTCTAGGTACAGGTATATGATGCGCCATATGAAAAAAATCCCAAAACGTCCAACCTGAGACCTGAGTTGGGTAGCAAGCATTAACTCAAAAGCAAACCTACTAGTTTTGCTTCCTTAGTGCGGTTATGTCAGCACACCAAGAGTATTTTTTCCTCTTTGAGAATCCCAAGAGCAAAAAAGCAACCATTTTTTATTGAGTAGCAATAGGCAAAAAAAAAATCAAATCGTTCATTTGGGCCAGGAGAGGGCAAAGGGGAGCCAAGTGACAGCCAATCCAACTGTGTATCACACACCAATTCTCCACAGTCTGGGAAACTCACCCAGAATATGGAACACACACCTTTGCTCACATTCCACCAGAAATACGTATGGAGAAGGTGGGCGGTCCACCTGCCTCACAGGTGTGTTCTGTTTTCCCAGGTGGTGTCTGTGGTCACTAATGTACAATGAGCCCCAACATCAACTTTTAGCTGATGCTGGGCAAGCAGAACAGAGTGACAGCTTGGAGGAATCTGTGACAGATGGCAATGGAGCCAAGTGTAAGCAGAAGGCCCGTTATTAGTTGTAGAGGAGGCTCTTACCTAGGTTGAAGGGAGAAGTGTCTCCATCACCCAGGACCCACCTCCTCCTGCTGCACTCTGCATGGAGCTGGGGGAAGAGTCAGCAGCCACCCACCTCCACCCTCTGCCTAGGTGCACTCTGAATCCAGGGGCCAAGGGCTTGACTTGCTCCATCCAGTGTCTGAGATATAAAATAAACCCCATGGCATGCTGCCAGACACCATGGGGAAGGGAGAACACTGCCTCTAACTTCCTCTCCACAGGTGCCACACAGCCGTGTCCTACCCAGAGGAGACATCACTCATGGCAAGAGCTGGCCATCAGTAACCTTTCCCTTTTGGCTTTTAGTTAGAAGCAGTCAGCAATCATCATAGGAGGAAGGTGGAGCCCCAGAGGAGGTTACACCCATCTACCTACAACAAAGGAAATCGGAGAGAAGTCTAGAAAGGGCGGGGCATGGTGGGAAGAGGTACTTGAGGGGAAAAGGTATGGATTTCACATCAAATAGGTCTGATTAAAAAAAGATGCCTTACAAGGTCTTTAAAACATGAAATCCAAGCTTTGAAGCCGTCTATTTCTGAGTTGTTACCAACATGAGTATTTGTGAGTCACAGGCATTTAAATACTGGTGATCTGAGCTCACACAAGTGGGCTTTTCCCATGTTACACAAGAATTCCAGCAATTGTAGAATTGGTACAACATGACAAAAGACATTTAAAAGTTTTAAGCAGTTATTTTCTAGTGAGGAAACCAACCCAGAAATACAGAAATGAATCTGAAACCCTCCCCTCCCCTCCTTCCACCCTGTCTTCTAGTACACTATCCTGTCACAGACTCCATGTTAATACAGCACCAAAACCACCATTTGCTACTGCCTTTAATGAAAATTACACTTAAATTCCAAATTAAAATTATTGGCAATTAAAAGATGGGATAGAATGAAAGAAAAAAAAATCCATAGAATGATAAACTTAGAATGAGCTTGTTGTGGGTCAAATTATGTCCCTACAAAGAGATATGTTAAAATCTTATAAAATTATACCCCTGTACCTGTCTTTATAGATGCAAGCTAAGAGGAGGTCAGACTGGATCAGGGTGGGCCCTAATCCAATGACTGGTGTCCTCAGAAGAAGAGGCAAATTTGGACACAGAGACACACGGGGGGGAGAATGTCATATGAAGACAGAAGCAGAGATTGCAGTGATGCAGCTAAGAGCCAAGAACACGGCAGACTGCAGGCAGCCACCAGGAGCTGGAGGAGGCAGGAACGATCCTCTCCTAGAGCCTAGAGGGAGCACAGCCCTGCCCACACCTTGATTTTGGACTTCTGGCCTCCAACTGTGAGAGAATACATTTCTATTGTTTTAAGTCACCTTGTTTGTGGTGATGTATTACAGCAGCCGTAGAAAACTAAGAACTTAATCATCCATCGATGAGGAGAAGGAAGCACAGGGAGGTTGATGACCTGTCCACGGTCACGTGTGTAATCAGTCCAGGATGATTCCCACCACACCCAAATCATTCATAGATAAATGAAGACGGTTATTGTTCAGAAGTCTGCATGCACACGCGGAGCAGTGGTGAAGTGCTTGGACTGTGGAGCGCTCAGACTGTGAACAGCTCAGGCTGGGCAGACTCAATTGATATTCCAGCTTAGCCACTCACCAGCATGGCCGTGGACAAATTACTTGGCCTCTCTGAGTCTGTTTCCCCATCTGAAAATTAAGTCAAATAATTGTCCGTACTTCATGGGGCTCTTTCGAGGATTAAATGAGGTGATATGTGCAAAATGCTTGGCATGGTGCCCAACACCCAATAAACCTGAAATAAACGTTAGTTATTAATATTACGGTTGTTAACGATTTCTTAGACGGCCCCTCCAAGCTGTTCTGAGCAATGCCTTGGCTTGGCCTTGCACAGTCCTCTGTCACAGGGTCTTTGATGGTGAATTCTTTCTCCAAAGCGTAGGAGCTGCCACCTTTCCCCCAAAGGAGCTGGTGAGAACGTAGCTTTTACCTGCTAGTTCTTGTAACCCCAGTAATCACTTTTTTTCCTCGTTCTTATCAGTTTACCACCTTCTTCCATCAGACGTCTTTTGCTGGCCATCCTTTTTTCCACCTCCTCTGCAGTAAGCTTAATGTAATTTGGGGACACTGGATGGCTTATTCTGAAAAAGACAAACTCCTAAGCTGCATATGCTTGGTACATATTTTCGATCCAAGGTCTTCCAAAAAATTGCATACCGAGAAGCAATCGTTAAGCCAATGTGCCATGATTAAAATGCAAGTCCCTAAAATAATTTCTTAGCTCTTTACCTTCAAATGTTTAAATAGGAAAATCGTTTTGCTGTCTGTTTCATCCATATTAGTGGAGATGACAAAAAATCTTTCAACAGAAACCCCAAAACCCTTTTTGAAGCCATTACAAGGTATGTACTGCAGAACTTTAGCATTTTCCACGGATTTATTGTGTTAGCATGAAAGTCCTTTTTTAAAAAAAAAAAAAAAAAGGAAATTGCTGTAATTATAATCACTTTAGAACACCATTATTATTATTAACAAGACCAAATTGCATGGTTCAAGCAGATGCTGGTTCTCTACTGTTAGAAAGAAGTCACATAATGCTATCAAACACCGGGCTCTCATCTCCATGCCAACGTGGTCGGGCTCTCACACGGGCTTCAGGCAGATGACTGTGATGTCTTGAAGAGTGTCAGACAGAACAAGGGACCTCCATTCTTAATGAAAGCGTTCAGGGAATGAGCACATTTCCAACGGTTGGCTTTCCCATGGGAGAGTGGGGATCTGTGGAGATCTAGGTCCTGCTGAATCTTCTCTCTCTCTTTCTTTCCCATGCATACCTGGATCCAACTATATATTCATTATGTCATGCCTTAAGCATTGCCTTGAAGGACGGGGAGGAGATGAGGGGACAGCAGGGATTGGGACAGTCCAGTTTGGGTCATACATTAAGTCCCTAATGCCTTGGGGTATAAGGTTCAGAGATCTCTGGCTGGAAAGGATACTTTGAAGCCAAACATCAAAGAAAAGAAATCAGGAGGCAGGCAGGGAAGGGAGCAGGCATCTGCCTGGTGGTTCAGAACCTGGGTTCGATTGCTGGCTCTCCTTTCTTTTCTTGCCCTGTTGCCCTGGGCAAGTCATTCAACCTCTCCAAGCTTCAGTGTTCCCATCTGCTAAATGGGTATAAGAACTGTGAGTGAGGTGGTTGTGAGGATCCCCAAGATGGCACACACAAAACATACAACACAGCGCCTGCTAACAAGAGGAGCCCTTCACACCATCTATGACTAGTACTTAATTCTCAAAAAATTTTTGGTTATTTACTGCCTGAATTTATAATTCCATTTTTCTCTCCACCTAAGCAAGTTTTATTTTAGGCTTTGGAGAATCAGCAGAGAATAAATGCACGACTCTTGGCCATTAACAGAGCAGGAAAGCTCACTCCGGGTTCAGAAGTCACCCCACGGCTGCCCCCCTCTAGCCTGCTGCAAACACCCTGCTGGTGGACAGAGACGGTGCAGAGGGAGACATTTCAGAGAGAAGAAAAGAATCCTGATGCACTTGTCAGTAACACCAAGAGTTTACAGTAAGCATTTGGAAATATCGTACACATGGATTTTGCTATAAAGCAGCTTATTACTAAATCAGGCCAGGAAGGAGGCACAGAATATTTCATTCCTCACCAAATGTAAAAATTAAATCTGGATTGTTAAAAACAGCCCTCCCTGGAAACATGCAAATGTTTAACTGAGAAATAACCTTGAATGAACCACTTCCTTGGCCAAGGTAAATATATAAGCAAAGGAACTCAACACATTCCTATTCATCAATTAAACTTCATCATTTTAAAGTAAAGGTCATTGGATCAATTAATAAAGACAAGCTATCATTATGAAAGCTTTCTTTTTTGTTGTTGTTTTTGAGAGCCCAAGAGAAATATTTTTTAGTTCTTCTCGAGGCTTTTTTTCCCTTCCCTTCTTCTCTGGATGGAGATGGGCATCCTTTCATCACAGCACCCAAACTGCCCAAATTTACGTTAGTAGAGGGAATTCTTTTCCACTCCAAAATCTACATGAGCTTTTTTTCGTCCAGGCACCCATTTCCCAAATGGTGAGTCATTTAGGGCCTGCTCCAAAAGATTATCCTGAGGCCACAAAAGAGCTTCATCCTCAATATCTTGTGAAATCTTGTGAAAGGAATCTTGTGAAAGGCAAATTGCATGAGGTTCTCACCACCAGCACATGTTTCCACGTGGTGGCTTTTACCAGCACAGAGATCTTGTGGTAGAGATAAGCTTCCTCAGCTGACTCTTTCCCATCCCCTCCTGCTGCCCTCCAGCCACCATGCCCCCTGGGAGATGGCAAAGACCACACTTAGATGAAAGGCAGCTAGAATCAAGGTTTTCAGCAGAACACATTTTTTGAAGGTTTTCAAAAAAACTAATTAAACAAGTATAGAAGTTATTCAGTAGAGTTTCTTTTTTTAAAAGAATTAGCATGGCATGTCTTTCCTCTTAAGAAAGTCTTGAATAATTTAATTAGAATTACACCACAGTCATGAGTATGTTCTATTTATGGGGGAATCATAGCTGAATTAAAACCCAAATGACAATGTTAAAAATAAAAATAAAGTATCCTCAGACAGTGTATTCAATTGATAAGGAAAACTTGACTTCAAATCATACTCAGATCAGGTAATTTGGAAGGAGGAGGAGGCCAAATCAACTCCTGGGGTTTTGTTTTCTTAAGATTACCAAGCCTGGGGGCATTTATTTCTTGCTACAAAAAGTGCTAATAAATGAAAATCAGAATAAGAGAAAAAGAAAGCTGTTTGACTTTATTTTCATTTTGTCATTGAGAGACCACTTGGTCCCCGGAAGCCTAGCTCAGCCCCTATTTTTTCCCAGTATCTTTACAGCACTTACTGCTTTCCACACACACGTGTGCAGAAGCTTCGCTCCGTGCAGAGGGGCTGGGAGCTGGACCCGCCAGGAGGAGGCTGCCAAGCCAACTCAGAGCGAGGGAAGCGGCGCCCGGAAACGGGGCTCCCTCGGCGGGCGGCGAGCGAGCCTCCTCGGACACGGTCGCTTTGAGCCGAGCTCACGTATAAAATCCCTTTTCAAGGGTGCTGCGCCTTTGGAGGCCGGCCAAGAGCCTCCTTAGCAATGAGACAGCATGGGGGGTAGGGGGAGGGTGGGCAGTGAAGGGAGAATATTAACCCAAAGCGATTCCCCAGTAATAACAGCATCGCGCCCCAGGCCCACAGTCTCCCCGCTGGAAGGTGTCTCTAGCCAGAAGGAAATCCTATTTTAGAGGCAAGTTACAGTTCTCCTCAGCCGCCAGCCCCAGGAGGGGGAGAGCTAACAAGTTCTGAAACACTTGCACACACCCCTTGGCTGCGCACCGGGCAGGGCTGCCATCGCTCCGCGTCCCGAGTGCGCGCGCCCCCGCTCCCGGCCCAGCGGAGCCCCTCGGTGTCACTCCAATGTGCTCTCCGGAGACTGGGGACAGCTGCTGCTTTGGGGGCAACGCCAAGCCGCGCGGAGGCATCGCTGGGCTCCCCCACGAGCCCCCCAAAAGCCCTCGGCTGCAGCCGGGGGGACGACAGAGTCGGCGGGTCTGGTGGGTGGGCGAGCAGACGCCCACTGACCTACCTTCTGCGGGGGGGTCCCGATCAACATCTCCAGGTAGTAGCCGCGGCCAGAGTCCCCCTGCAGGTTGTCAACCATGGCCAAGAAGTTGGCCGCGCCCCCGGCGGGCTCCAGGGCGAACGCCAGGCCGTCTGCGCCGGGCACGGCGCGGGGCTCGGAGGGGGTCCCGGGCCTGGGGGTGGGTGCAGCTCCGCGGCTAGTGGCCGCGGCCACCCGGAG